GTTTTATATTTTATGGCCTTAAATTTATAATAATAAATATAGAAAATGCTATAACATACAAGTATTTTCAATAAAAATAAAAATATCTGCCCTGACGAGCCGCCCCTGTCATTAACACGTCTTCACATTAGCAATGAAAATGTAAAACAATAATTACTATATTACTGCATTACTGCCATTATTTCAACCAGTTCCATTATTGTTTTATGCAATACGCGTTTCGTTATTTTGAATTCTAACATAAACCTTTTGTTCAAATGGTTATTTTTTTTTTTAGTTTTTGATTTTTATCTTTATCCGTTTTCGTCCCGCGATAAACTAATACAGCCCAAAGTCTATTTTTCGTTAAAATTATAATAAAAAGTATATAACTTACCGAAAGGCAGGCGTAAGTTAATTTTAATGATATCTCTAGATCGGGCTTTGTTATTTTATTATTGATTGACGAAAAAGCGTAGGCATTAAAACAAATAGGATTAAATATATCAGAAAAAACAACGAAATATAGCTTCCAGAAAACTTCATTATTCTCTCTTATGCCAATATGAAGTATGCATCACTGACATCAGTAGATGTGGAAAGATCGTTTAGTTTTTATAAACATATATTTAGTGATAAGACAAATATGACACCTGTTCACATAGAAAAGTAAATTATTATGAATTATTTTTATAATAAGTTTATATCATAAATTTAAATATTTTTTATGTTTCGTAAATATTTACCAAAGAATTGGTATAAAAATATTTAATACTTTCTTATTTTTTCATTATTATTCCTAACTAAAGGATTTGTTCTATTTGTTGAACATATGTGTAAATATTTGCTCTAATTAATGTTATATGTTAATATCTGTACTTAAGATACTAAGTTTATCTTATTGGGCTGCATTAATATTTTTGAAAGAAAAACAAATAAAATATATTTAAATACATTTATTTTGGGGAAGTGCATATTTTTGTGTATTATTAAAAAAAATGAAAATATATCAAGCTTATATTTAAAAAAATTTTAAATGCATACTATATTAAGCTTTTTAAGTGCATATAAATCCGGACTTAATTGATGATTCTTGTTTGTTATTTTCTGGTAATTTGTGAGATATGATACACCTTAAAGCTGCGAATGGTCTTAACATATAAATGTTTTAGTGAAAGAGGATTAACGATGAATTTAAGTAAAATAATGTATCTATATACAATTCAAAACAAATAAATGTAATACATATGATTTTCCAATATTAAGTTATAACTGTAAACAATTATTAAATTGTGATACCTATAACTCTATATAAATTAAACAAATATCCAAAATTAGTATATAGCTATTATATTCTATAACAACTTAAAATGGAATCCACAATTTTATTTATTAAATTAACTATCAACATTAAATTTAATTATTAATTTATTAATAATCTGGTATGAATGCTTTGCTCCAAATATTATAAATTTGTTAAGCTTAGAGATTTATTTCCGGTAAAAACTATACGAAATATCTATTTTGCCTTTTAATCAATTTTTCAATATGAACTTTTAATCAAAAATCAGAATAATATATTAAGAATAATGTTAGATAAAAAATCGCTCGAAAGATCAATTAAATTAAATTATATGTATTTAGGTATTCTCCCTGATAGATATTTATACAAAAAATTGCTTCATTGTTCATAATAAAAAATTAATAAATCTAAGTCTGAATATAATTGATTTTTCTCAGGTAAGGGGACATAGGGCTTATGATATACTGGTGAAGTATACTAAATAATTCTTTCGGAAGTCGTTTGTAGATTATTTGGATACAAAGTATTTTAACGAAATTCCAATTTTATATAAAAAAAATATTTATTGTGGTCTATTAAATGGGAAGAAATTAGTTGACAAATGGCTTTTTTCAGAATTATCAACCTCCTAATAATAGTCTGCATTTTTTATGTTTCATTAGTCTTATTGTCTTTATTGTTTTATTTTGTCCATTGCTAGTTTTATATACTAATTAATTAAATTACTTAAAAGCATGGCACCACAATCAGTAATTTTGTTTTTGTACATTATTTAATTATACCTAATTTTGTTTTTGTTAATATCAATCAAATTTATTGTAATGTTATTATTTAATAATAGATTAATCTAGATTAATCTTTTTTATTTTATATTGTATAAATCTGAATGTAAACTCTCTCTCCATCACAAGCTTAGGTTTAAAGGAGTAGATATATTCTTTACATATACGTAATAATGTAACTAAACCGTGGATCGTAGTATAATGTTTGTATTAATAAATAAAACCCTTGTAACTATTACATATAATGAAAGGTTAAACGTAGTACTATTTGTAAAAATAAATTATCGTGTAAAGCTTGATATGTTAAAAATACAGATTTGGAATACCTAATCAGTCATCTTCAAAGTAATCCAGTTACATGTAAACACTTTTCTTATGGTGCTGTTATCAATGCAAAGGAAGCCAATCGGCAGAATATCAAAACATCAGGAATCGATGGCACAAAGCTCAATCTAAAATTATACAACTAGGCGTAGAGAATATTCAAAACAAAATTCCATTGGTAAATTTGAACATAAACTTATTTTGTTGCGTTGATAAATTTGTATCAAAATTGATCAAGATTGAATCCATTGGAAAAATCTACCTTTTGTTGTAACAGAGATGTAATTGAAATATCATATATTTTAGACAGGGATGTCCGGTGGAAAGGGGGAGTAGTGGGTTTTATTGCCCTCCTTGAGAATTATCATGTCAGTTATAAAATGAGAATATTTTTTACTTAATGTTAGTCCCGATTCATATCGGGTAGTCGGGGATTATTCTGCTCTCCCCTTGAGCTAAATTTTTACGGGCATCCCTGATTATAGGCTTTATAAATTTAACTATTAAATTAGGAAATACCTGAAAGTTGTATATTAATAATTCAAAATACACAGCAATATACTATATTACCAAAAAACCGTAAAGTTAAATAATAAATATGATTTCACACATTAATGTATAATATTACAGTCGTTGCCAGATAAATTGAGACGGCGGCGGCGGCGCGATAATGGAAAACCAGTGGTTCTCCGTATTTCAATATTATTACCGAAAATACATCAATTTACCAACTATTGTTACAAAAAATATTTTACGATATTAATTTAAAATCAAATATTCCGATAATAATCTTTTATCTAAGAACAAAAAGTAGAAATTGTAAAATAATATAATTAATGTAATAATAATACATAATATTAATAATAATATGATGAACTAATAACAATATCTATATGCATTGTTATAAACAAATATTGTTGATACGATTGAAGTGCTTGCGCGGTCAAAACACACCGGGTTAGGTTAGTTGTTTTTAGCAGTGTAGGGCAACCAGAACGGGAGAAAGTACAGAAAATTCTGCAGACAATTTTTTGCACTGAGCCGGGTCCGAACTGGTGACTGCGCGCGTCGTAGCTAACTGTGAGACCTTTGCACCACACTACCAGCGACTAGTTTGGGCTACACTTAGTGAAAAGCGCCGCCGCCGCCGTCTCAATTTATCTGGCAACGACTGTACGTGAGTCTATTTGAAATCCACACCTAATGTGTCTATGATTAAGATTTTAGACAAACTAAAATTAAACTTAATTTATAATAAACCTAATAAATTAAGTCCAACCACATGGGTTAGACTTAATTTATTGGAACTAATGACTATCAACACACATTGCATGATAAATGTAAGCATATAATGTAATACAATCAAGAATAAATAAATATAACACATATTATTAATTTTAACTTAATTAATATTTTTAGCAAGTAAATCGCACAATGGTTGTTTGGATTACTAATTGATTACTACAAATTATACCGTAATTTAGTAGGCATATTATTATTATTAATAATAATAATAAATGTTTTCGTGTCAAAACACTAGTGCGGAAAAAAATGTATTTTAATAATGTTTACAGTCTAAATATACTATACTATTGCATTAATATTTTTTAAATAGCAATTGTCAATCTAAATTAATGACAAAAATTAATAATATCCATTCATTTTTTTTTTTTTTTTTTTAGTTACTAAGTACTAAGGAATATAAATCTAATTACCTACTACAAACATTTTTTATTTTGTATTTCTTAATATTTTTATAATTTCATTATCAAAAAAAAAAAAAATTAAATAATAACCTTACATATTACTTATTATTATGTACTTATTTAAATGTATATATTTTGTCATCATATTCATATAATTTTCTAGCATCCTGTGGACAAATGTCTTCAAAAAACTTCTGCTGTAAAATAAATAAAATAATTAATATTTAAAATATCATAGTAGTTCAGTAATTGATACATATGCAGTTTTCTAAATAGTAATGACAAAACATTTTAACTGTTTATTATTTATTAAAATTCAAATTACATAATAGCATACATTTTATTTAAAACTATTTTGCTACTTTTTAGAAAAAATTTTTAATTTATTTTTGAAAAAAAATTAACTGTAAACTTGTGAAATATTGAAACTTGTTCAAATCTATTCATATTATCTCAAATATTGTATATTCTAGAACAGTTTTATACTTCCACAGTTAAAGAATTGAAAAATAATGTATTGATACAAATACATAAAGTTTATACCAAAATTATTAATATAATACATTTTTAACAGATTCAATAATACTTCAGATAGACAATAATAGTGTATTGATAGGTTATACTATTTTATAGATTTATTTTACAGTAGTAAAACTATTGTGTGGAGAATTATGATATTTTCATTTTTCATTTCTTAAATGTCAGATTTTACAAAATGTCTTTAAAGCAATTGTTTTATTTGTATCTTCTAAGTGTCAATGAGTTATTTATGTAATAACTTTTTTTGTATACCTATGATTTAAAAACTTACTACTAATTTTCTATTTCTTATTTTTGAGCGATCATCACGGCCGTTATATCCCATTGCTGTTGTCATCTTAAATAACTCATCAATTGTTCTCATACCGTCCAATGCACCTTCTGGATCACTCGATGACGTTATTTGGTATTTAACTTCATCCCCAAACTTATCAATAAAATTTGGAATACCTTCATTTTCAATTGCCCTTAAAAAATTTGAATTAATTTTATACATTATTATACTTATATTAATACAATATTATGTAAAACTGAATGTACATACGATCTAATCATCAAACGAGTAAATTCATTATCTTTTTCATTTTTTTTGCAATAATCACATCGATATTCACAACACAACATTTTTCTATCAAAATGACGAATTAAAAACTCATGTCTACACCTATTAAAAAAAATCAAAATCAAAGAGTTTACATATATTATATGTAATTAAATAAAAGTTGTATGGAACGTATACTTTACTTTGTATACATGCAGTAATCTTTCATATTGCTTGTTTGCAAGTATAAATTCAATCTTTTTTTGGCATTTACGTTCGACGTTTTATCTGCACCATTATTAACACAAGACCTTAAATCGGATTCTCGTTCTTCATTGTAGTACGATAATGCTTCATTGGTGACATAGATCCGACATTTAGCCAATGTACCATTATATCCTCTGGCTAGACCACTCTCTGAGTAATAAGTTTTAATACTAGGTGGTAAGCCCCAGTGTATAATTAATCTTAAACGCGAATTTTTCATTTTTTTCCCAACACTACTAGTTATTGCCAACAATTGTAAATCTCCCAAAAAATATTTTTTTAATGCAAGCTCCAATTTATTTCGTTTTTTCCCTATATTTAAAACAATTGAATAATAATCACGCATTAATTGCATATCAGGTACATTAACCGAAGAATGGATTTACCTGGATGATAAGAATCAATCGAAAGACCTAATGATTTAAGAGCTTTAGCAATTTGATCTGCCATCCTTCCCGTTCTACAGAATATCAATCCACGTGGTTTGTTAGACGGCTAAAAAAACAAATATTAACTAATTACATCATCATTGTTATATAAATTAATAAAAAAAATTATTTACAAAATTAGTGTTATCGTCCCCCAAAGTTTCGACGATAAATTGTTTTAAATCCTCGTTTGTAATTTCAGGATCATTGTAAGTTATAACATCATAGAACGTATTCCGTCTACATAAGTCAGTGCTTGGATCATAGTCTATGTCAAAAGTCCGGAAGCTCAGTATTTTTTTTATACGATTCAAGACCTAATTATAAAACCACATGCATATCAATTAATCATTACACAATTTCGAATCACATTATTTATAACATATTTCTTAAATATTTACACCATAACGATCTGTAGCTGTGAGTATAACCCAGTTAAGGTCTGGAGATCTAAGTTTACTTAGCTCTTGGTACTCTTTTTTCTCGCCTGATTGCCATTTATGTTCATTATATGATTCATCGAGCACTAAATATGCCAAAGAGTTTGATGATTTTAGGAAATCTGTTAATTTCTGTAAATTTAAAGTAAATAAATTAGAAAGCTTGTGCAAAAGAGAAATTATATTGACTTACTTTGAAATGTTCACAAAAAACTAGATCTGGAGTCATATAGATCAAAACAATTTTTTTATTATCCGATAAATATTCTTCAACAGCTTTAATTTGATCTTTAACTGGCATTTCTGAATGAATCATTAGATTAGGGATGTTTAACTCTACTAAACGTTTAACTCGACCCTATATAGATATATATTTATTTATTATGATTTTATCATGAGATTTTTCGGAAAATGTTTTTACCTCAATTCGACGAACACTGGGACAAAAAACCAATGTAACTTTAGGTGCCCGGATCATGGCTGGCACCAAATAGCATAACGATTTACCGCTACCTACAGTGTTTAGTGTCACATCCGAACGTCCTTTAAAAAATGTACACATTTGCGACGATAAATATTAAATAAAATGATATACACTTATTGCTTACCGTCCAAAATCGACATCATTGCCTCATATTGACTTTCGTTCTTCAAACCCGTAACATTGAACTTTTCTGCTAACACTTCATGTACCTTGTTGTGATATGATATATTGACCAGACGTTCGAAACAAAAATGACCGATTTCCATCATGATTTCTTGTCCGCGTTGAACACCGTTATGTGTTTATTGATTGGAAAATAACCGGTTCTCGAAGCGAAAAATATGAGACTAAAAATACTAGAATACAACGTTCGGGCGACTCGTGTAGCCGTGAAACTACTGACGACTTGTTGACTGCGTTATACGTGTGTGCAACGCACCGGTGAGCGCTCTCTATGCTCTGCCACGGTTAATCGGGTATTATTTGCAAAAAGCTCTCTCCCTGCGCCAGGGGTCCAGCACCTGTATCGATCCTTACAGGTTGCCGCTTCGTGCATCCCCGTCACTCACCGTCGATGGTACAGTGTGATCGGCTCCAGGGGAGAGTATACGTTTTTTTTCTCCCCAACATGTCGAGCCCCGTTATCCCCACTACGTCGCACGCGTGAGCGATTGCTTTCCGTCCGACCGCACCGCGAGCTGTTCGAAACGAGTCGCCTGGTCGAGGCGAAACGTATTTGATTCTCTACATCCATCAACCCTCCACCCCCAACTGCAGCCCCGACACCGTACGATTTTATGAACATGCGCGCTGAAAGGGTCGGGATGAAACATCTATTGATCGCTCGACCCCATTGGTGACGATTTTTTTTTCTCATCAAACGTTTAGTTAATACGGTTATCGGGTACATTGGGTAGCGAATAAAAATCGTAGCGTGAATAGTATTCACTGAATACAGTAGACATCGCTTCACGCATATGTCAATTCGCTGAATAATAAAATCAAAATATTATAGATTTTTTTAACTCATCGATATATTTGATACATTAATTGTATATTCCTATGTAATATAATAACATATTTGATTAATCACTATTTATACTTTTACTATTATACATATTATATTGATTATTTTTATATGGATTATTTTCAATTAAATCAAATAATAAATCGTGCACGTTAATCACAACACTGATCTCAAAACAGTTATGACTAAACTAAACACAAGCGTTATGTTCAAATCATTTTGACTTAAAATAAATATTGCAAAATTCTATTTCATTCGAACACAAATTGGATCTATACGCTTGACGCGCTTTCTCAGAAATTGAGAAGTGTTATAATAAATGTTTATGGATATTTTAAACATTTAATTTTAAATACATGGTATCCATTTATAAGCATACAAAAATAAAATAGTTAATAATGAATAAAAAATAGTCATTTTTATTTCGTATAATTATACACATTTTTATAATGCTATAATAAAATATTAAATAATTTAAAATAATAATTATTGATACAAGTTTATTTGAAGTACTAACATTGATTTTTGGGGAAAAATTAAGAATGTCAATAGAAAATACCGCTGCGTAGTGGCGATAAAATCGAGCACACTACGGTTTTTATAAATATCGCAGCAGTGTGCGGATTCCCATGATAATACGTAGGTATAATTTTATGTCTACACACGAATTGCGTCCCGACAAAAAAAAATTGATAAGTGGGGTACACGAATAGTGTCCACTTCTATTTAAATGACTACAAGAAACAATTTTTTTGCCTCTCATTTATAAAACCAGATGAAGTAGAGGTTTTTTTTTTACTGACGGTATTGTATCAATTTTATCCGAAGATGACAAAAGTACAGCAATTTTCCGATTATACATTAAATACATACATTAAGCATGATTGTGACTACCTATTTTCTGTGTGGGCAATGTATTCATGTTTTCTAATTCGAAATACGAATAATTGTGAAGCCTTCCGCTCCAAGTTTAAAAGTTTGTTATACTCAGTATACCTGAATATATTCCAATTCACAGGTGTTTTAAAAAATGTACATAAAGAAGCTTATATCAAACAACGAAGTAATAGTATGTGTATGGTATGTGAAATAAAAGATTATTTAAGACAAAATATGGCAAAATATGGAAGTGGCCAATTAATCCGTCTTGATTAGGTATAATTAAGTTTTTACCAGTTTTTTTAATTTTATATTTATAATTTTGTTTGTATTATAATTATTATATTACATTCCTATAATTTAAACCTACCCATTTTAATTTTACTTATTTCTAATAACATAACAACGATAAAAATCAATATTTTTAACCTACCGATAGTCATAATATACAGTTCTAAATCTGTATGAAATAGGAAGAAAAATAATGCTTGTACGTTGGAACACAATTCGTGTAGTCATTAATAATTATGGTTAGGACTTAATTTTCGTGGAGAATGGATTTCGGGACGCAATTCATGTGTAGAGAGTTTTATCACCACCGCCACTGCCACCACGGCAGTGTGTGGGGACCTTTAAACCGTTCAAATAATATCTGTCTAGATTTATATTTTTTATATTTTTTTTACGTAAATCTTTTCAATATATTTTAATTCATAGCCTGCTATTCGGGAGACGAATCCTACAAAACAGAAGGCATCAAAATAGGTCCAGCCGTTTTCAGTTATAAATGGTGTAACTGACTCTACTTTGTTTTATTTATTTAATAATTTTAGTGATTTTTAAAAAGAACTTGAATTATAGCTTATAGTTGAGTTTTATTCCCTCTTACTCCCTTCACGTAATTATAATCTATATTAATAGAAATTTCACTGTGCCATTAATAAATTAAAACAACAAAACTAACAAATAAATGAGAAAACTCTTTACGGACGGAATTTTGAAGAAAATATTAAACCTATTAAAAAAAGTAGGTACCTATCTATTTCTATTAGGTATATAGTTATACTTATAACATGTCCTAAATACATATATTTCATCTGTAGTCTTTCAGGGAGTTATTTTTTTTTTTTAGGGAATATTTTCCGAAGTTAGCCCATCATAGCAGGTAAAAGATAAACACACAACCGACCTTTTTCATTTTACGTGCTGCTCTGATTGGCCATAAAGCATTTGCGCATCATCTGTTTACTTGTGCCAAAATATCGTACGTCATATAGGCGTTAACATATGGAACAATAGAAGGGTGTAAAATAATATATAAACACACGTTTTTGTTAAATAAGCATTTACTAATTATATAATTAATACAAATTATTCTGTAGTTAAAAATTTAAGATTAAAATAATTTTATTTAAATTTGATTATTTGATTCAAAATTAATTTAAAAAAAAACGTGTTCTTTCAATTAATCAAATTATATTTATTGTTAAATACAAAATATATAAGATACAATATATAAGATATAGTATGAGTAAAAATTAATTGATAATAAATATAAATAAATACATACATACATTAAACACTTAATAAAATCTATTCATTTCACCGGTAGTATACTTAAGCCAATATATAAATATTTTCAGTTCTATTGTTTAATAATATTAATCCGTAAAAGATGTATGATCTTTTAACCGGTAAATGCGCAAACGATGTATAACCCAAGTATTGAACGATGCGCAAATGTCTTACAAAAAAGGTCGAAATTAACAATAGTAATGCACAAACGAAAACCGGTGCTCTGAACCTAACCGTAAAGTATTTCAAATCAAAAGAGAAACTGCCCTCAAGAAAAAAATATAACTTAATATCTCATGATCAAATCTGAGTTACACCCTCGACACTAGTGGCGGATATAACGTCTTGGCACCCATAGGCTTAATCACTCTAGTGCCCTTTCGCCGCCTCTTCACACTACTAAAGAACCAAGAATATTTGGTCTGAACTCTTCTCTTCAAATTGTATACACTTTTTTATCAATAAATAAATTAATAAATAAATAAAAAACAAGGAACGATGCGTATAGTACTTAGTGATTATTATAGACGTAACTAGACCTTTAAATCAGGGGGGACTAAAGTTTTATAAAATGTTATAGCAAAATAAGGTATGAGAAAATAATTACCCCCACGGTCCACATAGTTACAAAGTAATTCATATTAATTATTAATTACCTAAAAACATGATGAGATCAATCGATTAAAATATTTCTGAATTTGTATAATATAATGTGTAAGATTTAAATTGATTAATAATTAATAATGCATAATAATTTTTTGTTTCACACATTCACCTGAATTCCATAAAAATAAATAATGTATAGTATGGGGTACCTAAAATAATAATACTTAGCATCAAAAATTGAATGTATGAGTTTATTTCTTCATTTCAATATTTTTAAACAAACTTAGCATCAAACGTATACACAAAATGAAATAAGCAATTTAATAATATAATTATGAACATTACAAATCCATGCGTCTATTTTTCAAAGCAAATTTATTTAAAATATTTTCTGTCTCAATAGTATTTGAAATATCTCTTTCAATATGTAAAATGGACATATCTATAAATCTATCCTGGGTCATACTAGATTTAATCCCGGTTTTTATTCTCTGCACGACGGATTGTTTTGTTTTTATTTTTGAACAATGATCCAGATGTCTTTGCTAATTTGTTGGGTTTATATTTTACCGATTTTTACCACAAGCACACAATTTATTGGTGTTAGACATATTTGGAGTTTAAACACCTAAACAAATTACACAATAAAAGTGTCGTAAACAAATTAAAATATAAAAATAATGAGATATGTAATTATGTAAGTACCGAGTGTAGGATGCACATACGTTCGCCGTGTACTGGTGCAACTAACGTTTGTCTGAAATGTTTTTCCGGAATTTTTATACCTTTATAAATACAGTCCATAGTGTATACGATACTGTCTTTATATATATTATTATCATACATTCAAGTATATATCATATTAGTTTGATTATTGTATTGAAATAATGATATTGATTTGCTGAAATAAATAAATAAATAAATAAAATAAATATTCTATTCCAAATTTATTATCGACAGACTTCTGTGAAAACTCGCCGCCGCCGCCGCCGACGTACTTTCTTAGTACCTTATTAGTTGGAATCAAAGATAATATGTAGAATAAACACTTTATGGCTAAAATAGACTATAAATTATAATAATTTATAAATATCTCTCTACCGCCAACTCGATAATATATATTTAAAAATAGATCCAAATGTATTATCAAATAACATTACAAATCACTAATTGTTACTATTG